ATACATAATTTTGACATCTTTTGCAGCGTAGCAAAATTAGATTTCTAATTACTGATTTAATAGTCCATTAAGTACATTTGGAAATTATTATTGAATTGATTACAAAGATGTTCAGAGTTGCAGTTCTCTTCTATAAAATGCTGTCCCAAATTTTTCCTTTGAAACAATAAGGTGGCATGAGCTATCATAAAGTGAAATATCCAAAATGACAAAGAGAAATTCTCAAAGAAAATACTTACTATTCCAATCTTAGTGGAGACAAGCTTAAAGGATAATTTTATTGTTTTCTATCTGCATTACATAAGAGTGGTCCAAAAAGGATTTCCTAAATTTGCCAAATTTATCCATTCATTCTGTGACTATTTTGGCATACCTTTTATATACCCAGGCCTCTGCTAAGCATTGGAATTATTAAAGTGAATAAGACAGACAAGCTCCGCACTTTGGGGGAGCATAAATTCTAGAGAGAAAGACATAACAAAAACAAGTAAATAAACAAGTAAAACAATATCAGATGAGTGCTAAGAAATAAAGCAGATTGGTTCCTATGAACAGAGTGATCAAATAAGTCGTTACCAAGAAGGTAATAGTTAAACTGAGGCTTCAATGGAGGAAAGTTGCTGTAAATCATGCCCCGAATTCCTGAAACAGGAAGAACGAGCTTGACATACGAAGAACAGACTACATACATGCACACTATACTCCAGGCCAGGGGGTTTGAGACTTGGCAAAGCATCTGAATGTCCTTAGGAACTTTGTGAAAATAGAGATTGCTGAGCCTGTCCCTGGAAATGCTGATTCAGCAGGGCCGAGGAGGTAGATAGGACCTGTGTGTGCAGTGCCGTGAACAGTACTAGAAACCTATCTCTAGCTGGTATCATTCCTTTCCTGAACACATCACATACTTAGCTACTTATATCTATGCCTTTGCTCATGTTGTTTTTTTTAGCCTATAATGTTCACAGAGTACTACTTGTGAAATATTCTTACCAAAAAAAGTTGAACCCAAATCTAATAGAGTCTATAAATAAATACATGTGATAACAATGTAAATGACATCAAAATAAAGTAGGTGGCATATCTGGTCTCTGGGACATTCTGCTGAAGAGCTGACTCTATAATAAGTCTGCGACATTAAAGTACGGGGGTTGTCGGCTCTAGATGGAAAATTACCTAAGAGATCTACCAATCAAATGTAACATGTAAACCTTGTTTGGATCCTCAGACATACAAATCAAGTATAAGAAGACATTTTAAAAACAATCAGGAAAATTTGGTGCTGTGGTTATATAAGTAAATTTCCATGTTTTTTAAAGTTTCATACAGAGATTGGGGGGTGGGGGTGGGAAATGACATAATGCCTGGAATTGGCTTTAAATTATTTCAGTAAGAAAAAAAAGGAATAAATGAAGAAAAAGACAGCAAGATTATTATAGTGTTGAATCTGGGAAATGGGTATATGGAAGTTCATATTTTCTATTTTTGTGCATGTGTGAAATTTTCCATGTAAGATGTTTAAAGAGCATGAAGTTTTTTATGTTTATCTGAAGGGAGCATGAATATTTAAAGTTGAGAAATATAGTACTGCACCATTTTGCCTTACCAAACTGATAAAGTTAAGGATACTTGGTCATGGTATAAGAAAAGACTGCTATTGCCTCTTGACCTTTTGGCAAAGATCAAGTGTAAAATGATACTGCTTAAAAGGATTTATCAATGAGTGCTGAAATTCCCTATCGAGTTCAGAGTATGATTTGATATGTGCCTGACTTTTCAGGAATAAATCTTTTGCATGAAAGGAGGCAAATCTCTAATCACCAAGGCACCTTCTCACAGTTTTAAATGTTGTGCTCCATTGAAGGAAGTCTTTGCTTAATCATTTCGATTCTTCTAGCACAGAGAATATGCACATTTTTAGAAAAGTACTGATTATCTGGTCTCTTAATACAGTGAAGTTTAAAGCAGCCTTTACCTTAATGTTTAGTAGAACAGGGAACGGTAGGGGTGTGTGTGTGTGTGTGTGTGTGTGTGTGTGTGTGTGTGTATGTAGAAGGTGGAGGTCAATCCAAGTTCTCTATGGAAAAAACTTTGGCCTGCCATGAGGTCTAGAAACGTAATAGCTACTGTATAGTTAAATATGAATAATTTAAAATGGAAATATCCATAGTATTATCTATACTAATACAAGGGTAATTTGCAAATGGTCGGGATGCCCGCATAACAACTGATCAGGCTGCGTGCACAGCAGGCGTGGGTGGACGGGGACTTGGAGCATCGGGGACTTGCGTCACGCCGTCACAATCCATCACCAGGAGGCCTGGGGCCCAGTGAAGGCCTCTGCACACCTCTACTGGGGGTCCCGCGGCTCCACGTGGCCAGGCCTGGGGGTTCCACAGCCTGGCCCCGGCTCCAGCCTACCTCTTTGGGGCAATCCATCAAGGAGCCCTGGATGGGTGGGCGGGGCCTACCTCTTTTGGGCAATGGATTGCAGGGCTCTCGCACTGTGACAGGGCACAGGCCAGGCTGAGGGGACACCCTCCCCCCCCCCCCCCCCCCCGTGCATGAATTTCGTGCACCAGGCCACTAGTGTTTATAATAAAAATCATTAGGGCTCAATAAAGCTGGGTTTTATTACCAAGCACATATTACATATAATGTACATGTATACATGGGGGAAAAGGGCAGTATCGTTCTGATAAAATAAATAAGGCCCTCTTATCACAGTTACAGTAATATTTGCTGTCATTTTCACAATGACTTGTTTTCTGTTAATAGAATTTTAGCAGCACCCAATATTAATCTTGGAGTGTTTAGCACTTCTATGTAACATTCAAAACTGCAGGTAAAATAGGGTAATCCTGGCCATGAAGGCTAAACCCAGGAAGTCAGCTAGGAAGAAATGTTTCTCTCAGGTAACTGACATTCTGGAAGACGAAGAGTTAACTAAAGCAGAGCCTCACACTCAGGAATATGGACTGTCAACCAGAGTAATAACTTCAGAGCTGGGACTCTGCTTCTATCCTGTTACCACACAGGATTAAATAGCCCTGGGCTCATTCGTTGAGTGAGCACTTGCGCATTTGCTATGGCTAGGCTGTGATCTAGGCCAGGTAGACAGAACAGGTAAGACTGAGCTCTTCCCAAGGTGTAACTTCACCTCATCCAAGAATGATAGACATGCATCATGCTGACTCAGTGGGATGGCTGCTTTGATGGAAATGCATATGAAATCATTGAGCTGTCATCCATATTGCTGGTGGGAATGTAAAATGATTGTTTCTGGCTTGGGCTTCACAGAGGAGGTGGACTTTGCCTTGACTACTTGACCTTTTTACAGGACTGGCCACTCTTTCCTTGACACTCTTCCCTCAGTTTCAGGTTTGGTTCTTTCCCCACTTTTTTGGATTATTCCTTACCAGGCTTGCTTTCTTCTGTTCTCTTTTTCCACAACAGATTCCACCTTGACCCCACCTATCCCCATATACTTTCTCTAGATTACCTCATTTACACCAATTATTTCAATTATTTCCTATGGCCTAATATTTTTCAAATTTTTATCTCTAGTTCAGACCTCTCTCTAAGCTATAGACCAGTGATGGCGAACCTATGACACACGTGTCAGAGGTGACACGCAAACTCATTTTTTTGGTTGATTTTTCTTTGTTAAATGGCATTTAAATATATAAAATAAATATCAAAAATATAAGTCTTTGTTTTACTATGGTTGCAAATATCAAAACATTTCTATATGTGACACGGCACCAGAGTTAAGTTAGGGTTTTTCAAAATGCTGACACTCCAAGCTCAAAAGGTTCACCGTCACTGCTATAGACCCATATTTCTAATAGACTGTGGATGTTTTCACATGTGTTTGGGGGTCAGAAAGATGCAGGTTCAAATGAGGATTGTACTGCTTACTAATTGTGTGACTCAGCCAAATTATATGACCTCTCTGAGTCTCATTTCCACTTGTAAAATTAGGATAATAATACCAACTTCAAATGGCTTCTGTGAGAATTTAATTATATGTGAAAATGCCTAGCATAGTTCCTGGTACATATAAAAGGTATAAAAATATGTTTTTGTTTCATACATCTATCCTCCTAGCCCCTGGCAAGCCATCCCACTTTCTGTCTCTGTGGATTTGACAACTCTCAAGTACCTCATATAAGTAGGATCATTCCATATTTGTCCTCTTTTATGCCTAGCTTATGTCATTTAGCGTTATATCTTCAAGGTTAATTCATGATGTTGCATGCGTCAGAATTTCATTCTTTTTAAGGCTGAATAGTAGTTCATTGTATGTACATACCACATTTTGTTTATTCTTTCATTTGTTGATGGACATTTAGGTTATTTCTGCCTAAATGGACAATTGTGAATAATGCTGCTATGAATACTTGCTTTCATTTCTTTGGGGTATTTACTCAGAAGTGGAATTGCTGGATCATACAGTAATTCTATGTTTAATTTTTTTAGGAAATGCCATATTGTTTTCTACAGTAGCTTCACCATTTTACATTCCCACCAGCAATTCAAAAATGTTCCAATTTGTCCACATCATCACCAGCACTTATTATTTTCAGTATTCTTGATAATAACCATCTTAATGGATGTGAAGTGATGTCTCATTGCATTTTCAGGAAATTTTAATATATAGCTCATAACTGACAGGGCATTCAGATTAAAAGAATGCCTAACAAATAATGTAAGCCATAAAATTATATAAAGATGTCTTGATTGAGATTAACCTATTCATTATTTTCAGTTTTATATAGGTATATACATTTCTTGGAATTGTTTATCATGGCTAAGATAGTAATTATTAGATACTAGAGGCCCAAAATTCGTGCAAGAGTAGGCCTTCCTTCCCCCGGTTGCCGGCACCGGCTTCCCTCTGGCACTGGGACCTTGGCTTCCCTCACAGCCCTGGCTTCATCTGGAAGGTCATCCGGCGGGACATCCGGTCTAATTAGCATATTATGCTTTTATTATTATAGATAACACACAGACTACCATAGGAATAAAATCAGCAGTACAAATGTAAGTAAACTAACAACCCTGAAGTTATTAAATTCATCTCACATATTTTTATTAAATACTTATTACTCCATGACCTATATGCTATAAGACACTAAGGGACACAAAAGAAGTGTCAGCCATGGTCCCCTGCCCTCAGGTTGCTTACTGTTGAGACAATAGGAAACTCATTGAATAACAAGAACAGTTGTGAGATAGAATGTAATCAAGTGCCATGATGAGATATACTGTGAAAGTGCTTTGGGAGAGGTAATGGGGGAAAAGGGAGGGGTTACTATGAGCCACAATAGTCAAGAGACATCTTCAGCAGAATATTGTGGCCTATCATGAACTGTAAAGACGAAGTCAGCGGTTCTCAACCTTTGGGTCACGACCCCTTTGGGGGTCGAACGATCCTTTCACAGGGGTCGCCCAAGACCATCAGAAAACACATATATAATTACATATTGTTTTTGTGATTAATCACTATGCTTTAATTATGTTCAATTTGTAATAATGAAATTGGGGGTCACCACAACATGAGAAACTGTACTAAAGGGTCGGGGCATTAGGAAGGTTGAGAACCACTGGACTAAGTGATCTTTGGTGACCTCTGAGGTGGGGATAGGAATAGGTAACAGAAACAGCTCAGTCTAAGATATGTGTTTGTAATGAAGAATAGTTGAATAAAGTGAAATCAAACCATGGAAGCTATGATCCTCAGAGTAAGGAGTGGACTACTGTGTGTGTGTGTTAAAAAGGAGTACATAATAGATTTTTTAAGTGTTTAAGCTACATATGTAGTAGGTTTTTAAAATCTTTTCAATGTACAATTTTTTTGTTTCTTTGCTTGTTTTACGTAGTTGATATCTTATAAAAACACTAGAGGCCCAGTGCACGAATTTGTGCACTGGTGGGGTCCAGCTGGCCCACCCTGATGGGGGCCATCGGGGGCAGGCCAGCTGGGGCGAGGGGCCGTGGGTGGGGCCGGCCAGAGCGAGGGGCCACAGGCAGTTTGCCGGCCGGCCCTGCCCCCGATCAGGGGTGGGCCCGCTCAGGGGCGGGGCTGGCTGTGACAAGAGGCTGCAGGCATTCCGGTTGTTTCGCCGTTCGGTCTATTTGCATATTACCTTTTTATTATATAGGATTCCGATTATTTTTTATTACACTAACAATATTGTGATTTTCTATGTTATAAATACTTTATGACCATTGTTTTAATTTGCTGCATGCTAATCTGCTCAACTGACATATTAACTTTTCCTGTATTGTATTGTTGGACTTTAAATTGTTTCCAATTTCTTACTAATCTAGATAATGCTGGAATGAACTCAAATTTTTCATAAGTTTTTTAAAATATATGAAGTATTTTGAAAAATAGATGCTAGGCCTGGCCGGTGTAGCTTAGTGGTTGAGCATTAACCTATGAACCAGGAGGTCATGGTTTGATTACTGGTCAGGGCACATCCAATTTGCGGGCTCCATCCCCAATAGGGGTCATGCAGGAGGCAGCCGATCAATGATATACTCTCTCATCATTGATGGTTCTATCTCTCTCTCCCTCTCCCTCCCTCTCTGAAATCAATACAAATATATTTTTAAAATATATACATATATATTTAAAAAACAGATTCTAGAAATGCTAAACGATAGGCAATAAACATTTTCTAGATATTATGCTAATTTATGTTTCTACCAACAACAAATAAAAGTGTCTATTTCATAGCACCCTTTGTGGTTGGGGAACTGTTGTGTGGACCTAGCACACTGAAAATTTTCATTGTGAAAATAAAGAGTGAATGAGTATGAATGGAAAGAATCATTTCTTGGATTTCTCCACTAGATGTCTGACTTTTTACCATACAAAGGACATAGAATAGAGTACATTGAGATACATTGAATTTTTGCTGCACAGTATTATAGAAACAGTAATGCAGTAAGCAAAACACCCTTCAGAAGAGAAAACAGTTTGGCTGTTTTCTTATGTACCTAACTTTGAATGCTAGACCAGCTTAGCGAGTTAATTTTTAAAAATTTATAGATTTAGCTTCAGCTTCTTGATATAAGCATACTTGGAAAAGTACAGCAATCAGCCAAGGAGAAGTAAAGATGAGTGCATGGTCCTAAAGAGTAAGATTATTCACTCTCTGAATGTGACATATCAATTTGGAGATTATGATTAATAATCTGATGTGAGATTATAGTTTAGGCCAGCGGTTGCCAAACTTTCGGACCTCACGGACCACCAGTTGTCGACTGCTGGTTTAGGCTACCTATTGTCTTTATCTTGCAAAATTAAAAGTTTAACCACATTTCTCCTTACTTTGTATTTATTTGTCCTGATTCCCCTGGCTCCTTTTCAGCAGCATAGTACAGTTGAGAAAGCATGTTTTTGGATGATGAAAGGCCTAGGACCTTGCGCAAGTTATATATAATCTCTCTGAGCCTCATTTTACCCGACTCAAAAATGGTAATAATGTTTATGTAATAAGGTTGTTGTGAGGATTAAAGGAACAATGTTTGTAAAACTTTCAGCACACGATAGGAATTAGCCAATGTTTGTTCCTTTTACTTCCCTTACTCTAATACATTCTCAACTATTCAGTTCCCTTTAGAAAGTTAAACATTCTAGACTAGTGTTGGTTTCAAATAGCTAAACAGTTACTTTCTGCTTTTTATTTTTTAAATGTTTTTCTATAAAATACTTTTTCTAAAATATATCCAATACTTCATTGCTTCCTTCTTAAATCATTGTACTTATACCATGGGTATTTATAGACGGTGTGAAGCATGGGGCAGAGCTTCTCTTTCTCTCTTGAGATTGCTAAAATCTGCTGGTTGGCATGCAGCCCAGCCCTCTTTATGGCTGGCTGTTCTCTGTGGTCTAAAATGTCTGCAACTTGCCACTGCTGTCACAGCTTTTAATTTCTGCTGGCTGCTACTATTGCTGCCTCTATTCTTTCTTCTAACTGCCATTAGGCTCTGCTGGCCGTCTTACCATTTCTGCTCTACTTCTTGCTTTCCTTCACTTTTCCCTTTCCATGTCTTCTGCCTCCTGTAGCATCTCATATTTCATTGGCAAAGACTGGCCTTGCTTTGCTTTCTCAAACCAGCAAGAAAAATCCTTCTCTGCAGTGAGCCAACTAATCACAACATGTTTAATATGATCCTTATCAGCATTTCCCCCCAGAATCTGGGCCCTATTCCAGGTACTTGAGAATGCCAGAAATCAAGTCCCTGGATTAGTGAGGTATAACTCTGCAAGTAGTTTATTTTTTTTTTTGGTCTTATTTAACTTTTATTTTTATGCAAAGTTTTGTGCTAGATGCAAGGGATAAAGGAAATGGGGGTCTATAAAGTTAAACGATGCCATGGTCCTTACCTTCAGAACAGCAGGAAAACACAGGCATATTCATATGATACAAGGTAAAGGATGAAGGTGGGTGAGAAAAAGCTTAAGTAAGGGTTGTGAAGGCTCATGGTTCTCTAACCAGTCGATGTTTCTCTCTCACATCGATGCTTCTCTCTCCTTTCCTCTCTCCCTAAAAAGCAGTGAAAACATCCTTAGGTAAGGATTTAAAAAATTTTTGTTAAGTTATAAAGAAGAGTGGCTGCTTTTAAACCAATCTCAGGGAAGTGGGTGGTAGTTCCATTTGTAAGTTAAATGGAATTTGTATTAAAGAAGGGAGGACCAGGCCAGGTAGAGAGGAGCTGCCATGGCTCTCTGCCGTTTTAAATGTAATGGGTATGCATGCATATAAGCATAACCAATGGGCGCAAGATGATGGGGGAGGGGGGCAGTGAGGGCATGTGGGGGCGGGGTAGGAGAGGCTGGGGGAAGGTTAATGGGGAAAAAAGGAGACATGTACTACTATTTGTAATACTTCAAACAATAAAATAAAATTAAAAAAATAAATGTAATGGGAGAAAAAATAAACTTGAAAAAATAAATGTAATAGGAAAGGATCACGTAGGGGGGTCATGGGTGCATTTTTCCTTTTCTTACTTGAGAGTCTGAGTTTAAATTTTCTATATTATTTTGTCATTTGTGTTTCTTATGAACTTTTATGTACTTGGACAGAAAGGATATGGAGGTTTAGTGTAGGGATTGCACATTTATTTCTTTTGTAGTTTGAATTGTTTTTATTGTTGACTCTATTACAGTTGTTCCCCCATTTCTCCTCCCTTTGCCTTCCCCCAGCGCCCCTAGGCCTTCACCACATTGTCGTCTATGTCCATGGGCTATGCATATATGCATATATATTCTTTGGTTGATCTCTTTCCATCCTCCTCACTCCCTTCCCCTCCGAGATCTGTTTGTACTTTGAATTTTAAGCACGGTTGAATTTGTCTACGTTTTAACTTTATTATGTGATTTTGTTTATTTTTAATTCAACTGAGTATTTTTATTTTACCCTAGTGTATAATCCCTTGCAAAGATTTCAAATGTATGACCGATTTTAATTTATTGGAATTGTTTTTGCTGCTGTTTATAACAACTCCATACTTATTAAATTTGAACATTTCTTTTAAGCTAAAACAGAAAGAAAAAGCATAAATAACCATGACAAACAACCCTCTTCTGGTGTGGTCATTTGAAATGAAACAACCAAAAAAATTAATCAACTTAAATTTAGAAAAATTAGCTGATATAAGTTGTAAACCAGATGAGTAAAAGCTTTCACTTACTCATTCTTGACATTCAATTCCATTTATTCTTTGTAATATATTTTAAAACAGAATATTTATAAAGACTAAGGTTTGGGTTTCTATATCCTATTTTGAGGTTACTGAGAAAAAATGTTTGGAATCATATTCCTTTAATACAAATTCCATTTAACATACAAAGAGGAATAACAGAGGTAAAGATTTTGTAGATACAAGATGATGTGTTTTATTAAAGCTTCATAATCGTAATAGTAAGAGTATTGTAATGTAGTTGCTTTAAAATAATTATTAATAATGATTAAAAACTAAACAGGATTTATATTAGTTACAATCATCTAGTTCATTGATCAAACATTTCGTGAGTACTTATTATGTGCTAGGCATACAAAAGATGAATGAAAAAAAGAAGAATTTAAATTTAGGTCTCTAAAGACTACAATTTGATTAGAGAGTAATTTAAAATAATCATCCTTTCTCTGTTTCTCTCAAATATCTATCTAGATATATCAAGGTAGTTAGATATATAAATAGTTCAGAACTGAGGAAAATTCTTGATGTCTTTTTAAAGTACTCCCTTTCTCTAGGACTCTTGGAAGACAAAAAAGATAATAAAATTAGAAGACAACTTGGTTGTCTTTCTGTCTTTCTATTCTTGGCTTGCCAATCAATTCTGTGATTGGAGTCATGGTTCTTATGTTCATATCCCTGCTCTAATTGATTTCTAGGTGGACATGCTCTGAGTTGAAAGATCAAAAATCTCAGTGTTTCACATTAAATACTATAACACTTCAGCTCCCAGCATCTGATCTCAAAAGCCACAAATTAGGCATGGTGATCTGAAGAACATAGCAAACAAGAAGTGGATGGTGCCAGGTGGGATAACCCTGTCATGCTTGTAACTGTAAAGAGCCATTTATAAGTAACCATGATTTTAATTGGTTTGATAAATTTTTATTGGAAATAGCTAATAATTGTACTCGCTGAAAAATGTTTATAAACATATAGATGGTATTCCAATTCAGGGAGAGTACAAGTGAATAGTAATTTTTTTCCTATTACATGCATGCTCAAAGGGTAATGTTCCAGTTATTTGAAAAATTGCAGGTTTTTCACGCTCCTAAGATGCCAGTTAAATGAGGTGGTACTATACCTCCTTTTTTTGTTGTTGTGGTGGTGGTTGTTGTTGTTCAAGTAAGGAGTATGCCTGTAACCTTCAACTGAAGGCTTACTCATATATCTAGAAAAATTCTTTAAAAAATAATCACAAAATACATTTGCAAATTTCCAAATTGTCAATTTAGTGTAATTTATTAGAGTCACAGATCTCATAGAGAAAGAGACAGTACATTCTAAGCTTAGAAATAATATTAAAAATTATCCCAAATCATATTACTAACTCATCATTTTTATCACTACTTCTAATACCTCATAACCAGTTTTCTTCAGTGCCACCTTGTATACTCACTTGAAATACTATTTTTAAAATAAAATTTAAAATCAAATAACTTATCAAATTATTGGGTAAGAACAAAACCTCTCTTTAGGCACATGAGAAAACTCATTTCCTCTGTGCAGCTCTGCTATTACTCTTTTAATGGTTCATGCTGCCTTACTACTGTACTTTTAGAAATAACATTGGCAGAGATGGTAGGTCAAGTCTGAACTAAATTAGAGTATCAATATCACTATGGTCACAAAAAAAGAAATCCAGTAACACTCAGCAGAATTTTCTGCTCATAGAGAACATCTAGGAAGCATGTTATTCCCATGACTGCAGTATATATATGAAATCTTGACTTGGAAATACGGCTTTTGATTCAGATTGATAAAATGTAGTTAACAGCAGGGAAAAAATCAGGACTTGGCTATAGTGTTTTACGCACAGAAAACAGCAGTGTTATTAGTGGCTTAATGTTAAAAGGATAAAATAGTGTTTCCTCTGTATCTGTTCTGATCAAAATATTAATATTTTCATCAATGCTTCATATGGTAGAATAAAAAAAACAAACTTCTTGTATTTGATAGGGTGCCCAATCTGGAGATAGAAGAAAGCTAAGTCCTTAAAAAAAATAAATTATGAATAAAATATGGACATGATATTAAATATTGATATTAAAGGGTATTAGGAAGGTTGAGAACCACTGGTCTAGGGAGTATTTTGTTGTTGGCTCATCTAACCAAGAAAGGCAAAGGTATAGTCAGAATGACAAGAACTAGAGACTCTCAATCCTTCTCCATCTCTCACTGCTATTTTTTTCTTTGTCGGTACTTCTTCCTTCTTTTCTCCTACTGTGGACTTTTCTCCAAGAAGTGGAGAACATTGCCTCTTGCAGTTTTTGGCTCACACCTTTTACTTTTTCTTTTCTATTTTTTAAATGGTTGTGAAATATCCATTTTTAAGTGTGCAGGTTATTGGCGTTAAGAACATCCACATTGTCATGCATCCATCACCACTATTCATCACCAGAACTTTTTCACCATCCCAACCTGAAATGCTGTACCCATTACCCAATAATTCCCCATTCCTCTCTTCCTACAGCCCCTGGTAACCACAGAAGTTACTATGAGGCTCAAAGAACTGACTTCTTCATTTTATGTATCTGATAAACCTATAGAACTTTGTAATATCAGATAGTTGCTATAGCTTATGTACTTCCATACTTTTGCAATAACTTAGACTTCTAAATGTATTTTTTGTTTCTTTTATAGGACAATGAAGGTCAAACAGCTCTACATTATGGTAAGATGTTTCTTAACTATTAATAATCATTTGAAACTTTTCTCTATATGTTTATCTCAACTTTGTCCAGCACTATTTAGTGCTTAGAAAAATGCCTGGCTACTAGCAAAGAAACAGTAACTTTTTTGTTTAAAAAATAGATAAATAACCTCTAATGTTGAAGATATATTAAAATTATTTCTTTTCTTTTCATCTTTATTGTTGAAAGTATTACATAGGTCCTCCTTTTCCCCCCATTAACCTCTTCCAGCCCTCTCCTATACTGTCCCCCCCCCCCCATCCAGGTCCTCACCACCCCATTGTCTGTGTCCACAGTATATTAAAATTCGTATGGGCACATTCATAGTGAATTGAGCATTTTAACTCATTTCCCCTACTAACTTATTAGCATAGTTAAGTAATCTTTATTTAAGTCACCTATAAAATAGAGGATAATGGCTTTAAAGAGCTACTGGGTAAATTCAATGAGGTAAAAGATATTGAAGTATTTTGTAAAGTGTAAAGTAACTAGTAAAAGTATTCTTTTTTTTTTTTTGGATGTGAATATTGTTGAATAAGAGACAACCATCAATATTTAAATCAGATAAAGGATCAACCACCTTCAGACCTTTTGGGAGGGAATATATTAGGCTATTTTACTAGTTTTGGCAATCCCAGATCACCCTTCAGTGGTAAGTAGCCTGGGTGCCCCTGGGCACTTTTGTCCACTGCTTAGTATTTGCTTGGATGTCAAGCACCTTACTGGGTTGTCGAGGAGTCTAACTTATTGGGCTAGCTGTTATGGTAACTTGACCTGATAAAAAAAAGATTGAAATGTCACCAAATGCATGCCCCAACTCATTTATGACTGTAGCTAGTATCACCTGGGTATCAAAAACCAGCAGGAAGTCTGCTTCTAGATATATACCCTAGAAATACTGCTGGACATGTATATAATGAGACATGATTAAGAACATTTTTTGCAGCATTATTTATAATAACCAAAATTTTTTATTAATCTTTATAGTCCTCTCTGTACTGTACTTAAAATATTTGTTAATTAAAATTACACATATATAATATACATACACACATTTCCTACATTTGCAAATGAAAATCTCAAGTCCAGAAAGGGGAAGTGACCTTGACAGGGTAACACAAGCTGTAGGTAGCAGAGGCCAGACACTTGTCCAGGTCTCCTGGTTAAACTTCCAGTGCTCTTTTCATAATTCCATAAATAATTACAGTCCTAGTATCCTTTTAAAACAGACATTATTTTGTGGAAGATGATCTCTCCTAGAAATAAAATAAATAAAAATCCTTTACCATTGGTCACCTCAGTCAGTGAATCAAGGCTATTTTTCAAAATCGTATTTGTGAGTAAACATATATTTCAATATCTGTGTCTGTCTTCGCACTTTTATAGTCTTATTTCTGTTCACTGAGAGTTTAAACATTAATAAAAATTATCCCTGATTCAGGAATCCTGCCCAAAATTGATAATTGATCTTGTAAAACAACCTCTATTTCTATCTCTCATTACATTATTTATTATAGAAGGAACAAAATAAATATCATATATGTTACAATCAAGATAATTAAACATAAAAATAATACCATTAGTTAGAGGTTTTTGGCATTACAAATATATAAAACTAAAATATTCTGACAACCAGGAATGTTTCATGAAATTAATATTTTAAGTTAATAATCACTTATAGGAGTGATTCATTTTTAATTTAGATTTCTTTTTTAACCAGGTCACTAGACTTTTGCCAGTTTTTAAGTTCATCCAAACAAAGTCTGGCATACAATAATAATAATAATTACCATTTATTAAGTACCTACCAAATGCCAGGGAATCTGCTGGGCATAGTTTATCTTTTTAGTCACTTAATGTTATTTAACCTTTTTTTATTTAATAGGTACACAATAGCTATTTGTTGATTTGATTTTATTTTAGGACCCTTAACCTATTCTTGGGACTTTCATAAAACTAAAAGTATAGTTAAATCCAGGGAGTGCAAAGACTATGTTGGGGATGTCTTGGGGGCTTAGCTACTATTTTTTATGAATTACAGTTTGGCTTGACAGCTGTCCTTGTGTTGACAGCTCTTCTGATTATAGCAGTTGTCAAACTCCATCCTTAAGCAGGTTGTAAATCCTGGCTTCTTCTGATTAAAACTGGGTCAGAGCCAATGGCAGGTTAACTAAAGGCCAGTATTCTACTGTACGGCCATACTGGTTCTTTCCAAATGGGCTTTGCATAGCAGCATACTAAAATCCTTATTTGCCTCAATTTTACTTCGGTGTTTTTGAATCTTCAGATATTGGTCCTCCTGTTATTTTGTAATTAAACATGATCCTTGCTGAAGAGTATATTAGTATAAGTGTGGTCTTCCTTGTAAATGGCCTGTTAGCCTTCCCCTCCTCTCCCTCCACTGGGAATACTAACATCATTGCATCTGTGTCTCCCAGGGGAAATCAAGGCTTTTCCTTGCACGTGTAGTCATGTGATTTCAGAGTGGGCAGGCTTTGTATCCTCATGAGCCCTCGGTCTTCCACGTAAAGCACCATCTGTTCTGTTCCTTCCACGCTGTTACAGGGCAGTGGGAGGAGGCATTCGAGTGAAAATAAATAAAATAAAAAAAGAAAGAAATTCATCATCAAAACCCGGAGGATTAATGGAGTCAGAAGGCTCACTGCTCTGAATGAAAATTCATCTTCACCTGTGCCAGTGTCAGGGCTGCCTCTGTGGCACTTGACAAATAGAGGTTCCCAGGGTACCATAAATTCAGCAACTGTTCTTCTCCCTGTGGACTTGCTCAAGCTTTTCTGAGATGGGCTTATGACTGTTTTTGTATTTCCCAGCACATTGTGGACACCAATATATCCCCTCATTAATTGGGTAAAATGTTAGCCCCCTTTCCTTCTCACCCCTCTCTCATCTTCTTTGCCTTTATCCATTTTGAGGGGGTGGGCAGCTCACACGTCTCTAAAAGAGGACTCTGACTCATGAATAGTGCTTCACTGAAGATGCCAAAGGCAGAGAAATCAATTAACTAATGAATTTTGAGCAAACACTAGGTTCCCAGCACAGTGCTAGATGGAGGAGAGAGAATAAAAAAGCATGAAATCAAGTCGCTCACCATCTAATTGGGGGTTCAATGCCTATTTTAAAAAAAAAGGCAAAACTATTTGTTGGGCACTTATCTGTGCCAGGAGACTCTGCTAACCATAAACATAGTTTATGCCTATCAACAGTGAATCTCCAAGAGGTGGTGCCGCAGTGCCCACCTTATACTGGGTATGATTCACCTGTGTGGTTTCCCTGTCCTGTAAATCAGTCTTTCTCTTCACTTCCTTTTTGTCTCTACTACAGCTTCCTGATTCCTTATGCTCTCATGTCAATCTGCCTTTGCATAAACCCCTGGCACTTGTTAATCAAACTCCTTTCTTTATGGATACCATATCCCTTACTCACAAGTACTATTTTGTAATCCTTAAATTCCAAACTTAAATCTCACTTTATAGTTAGACTTGAGCTAAAATTGTATTCACATTTGTTAGGTTAAGGGGATTGTTACACAGCCTCGTTAGCCTTTTCTCAACTGGTTAGCTATAGTGCTCTAGCTGTGGAACTTAAAATTTTAAGCTCCAATCCTGGGTTAGTACTCACAGATTATATCATCTCCCCCTTACTCTTACAGCATCTATGAAATCAGTGCCCCTTTGTCTGAGATGGCCAGCTTAGTGTTTTCAGCCAGAGTGCACATCTACTTACCCTGGATCTTCATGCTTAGTATCTCAAGTGTTGGGTTAGATTTGAGCCAATAGTAGTCTGACAGATCATTCTAGTTATTATCCTGTGTTGCAGATTTATACACTGGGAAATTTATTCCTCTGATACTGCTTTAAAAGTTCCAATCTTAAAACCTAACCAAGTGTTTCTCACAATAAGTTGAGACTGATAGCTACAGCAAAAAGATTAAATGATTATTTCTCAAAATATAAATGTCATGCAGCTAGTTCTATGCAGGAGAAATATCCTCCTCTCACAGCTACTTAATATTAGGCAATGTGTCCTTAACTTTGTTATATTTTGTAAGAAACTGTCTTCCATTGGAATCTAATTTGGTGTACAGTGATTCATGGTATAATGTTCATTATATTATTTTGGGAGATAATTTTAAATTCTCGATGGGATGTTATAATTCTAAACACTTTCTGTTGAATCCTGGGCCTTGGTAAATATATCCAGTCTTCACCTTCTTCCCCATCTGCGCCAAATCCCAAAATATGATCTCAATCCACCAATACCTGCCCCAAGTATAGAATAGGCAATTCTTGCCTTTCTCTGCTTTGCTCCTCCTCTATTTATTCAGTCATCAAATATATAGTTTTAGTGGCCATCTAAGAAACCATAACCCACTGAAGGCCTCTAGAGATAGGGTTCCCAATTGGTCTGATTTTAGTTCAGAAAAATTTCTGCCCTCTACCTCTGTTCACTTAGAACCATCTCTGACCTTGTGCTATTATGGATTAGAGTTTGGTGCCTAAGTTTGTCCCAAGTTCACAACTCATCCCAACCTGGTTTGGGCTGTTGACTCTATGCCCACTTCACCTCATATAGCCAGGAAGCCCTGAGCTCCACCAGGGGAGTGAGCAGTTATGGGAGCCAGAGAAATTATTTTACTTGAGTACCAACAGAGAGCAAAAGAAGAAATGTCATACTAAGTCATTTAAAACCAAACTCCCAGAGAGTTCTGCTTCCATGTAAGATCCAGCAAAGAGTGACAAGCCCCTAAAAGACACACAGACTATTTCACTTTGATGGAGCAACTGAGGAAGAGGCAACCACCATAAAACAGATAAGAAAAAAACCACTAAAATTAACAAATTCTTCAAGTGAGCTAAAATGACATTTTAGAGTAATTCAGACCCAAGAAGAGTCCTCACTCCAGTGCTCTTTATCGTTAACTGATGCTCTTAAGAGAAATTGAGAACAGAGAGAGCCGTCC